TTACAAGGGCATGCAGTGATAGGACAAGGGGTAACGGCTTTAAACTGAAAGAGGGTAGATTTAGATTCGATATAAGGAAGAAATTCTTCACTATGAGGGTGGTGAGGCACTGGAACAGGTTGCCCAGAGAAGTTGTGGATGCCCCATCCCTGGAAGGGCTGGATGGAAGGCCAGGCTGGATGGGGCTTTGAGCAACCTGGTCTAGTGGAAGGTGTCCTGGCCCATGGCAGGGGGGTTGGAACTAGATGATCTTTAAGGTCCCTTCCAACCCAGACCATTCTATGATGCTATGATTCTGTGATCTACAACTAGTTTACTGGGTTCGTTTTTCTTAAACCTTCTTCCCCAGACCTTTCTTTTCCAGAGAAGTGCAACTGATACATTCATAAGAGTTTGTGGCCAGCAAATACATGTGCCTGTCCTCCTGTAAACCACCAGATAGCTGGGTCTTGAACCCCATGGGTGGCCTTCCAGTCTTGGGGTAGATGTGCCAAAAAGAAGAAAATTAAAATGCAGGTACTTTCCTGTAAAAAAGTAGTAAGTATGAGTGGGATGGTGGCCATCTGACTTTACTCACCTTTCCTCACCAAATTACAAGCTCGCTTTGGGGTCTACCTGCAGCAGAAGCCCACGGACTGGCCTGCTCCTCTCACAAATGTTGGCTGCAGCTTCTCAGGTGAAAGATGGTCCCTCCGTGTTGCCCAGCAGCTCTCCTGATCCCTTCCACTATCGCACCAAATCGGATTAACTTTACCTCACAACTCTCCCCACAGTCTATTAGAAACAAACCAACAGCTCTTGAGTAACACCTAATTGGATTCCACCAGCTCTGACTGCATTAGCTGTCTGTCCAAGGCCCTTCCAAGTCACTTATTATTACCTCAGGTCTTGATGAACCCATGGAAAATTGTATTACGCAGCACAGGCATAAAACCATCAGGACTTTTGAAGGTTGATCACTACAAAAGATCCTTTTCACTTTTTTTAAAGAGGAAAAACAAAAGGGAAATCAGACTGGGGAAAATAATTGTTTCTAAAATCCTGATAACACCAACGCATTGACAAGAGGCCAAGCTCCCAGGGCTCATACAGACAACACCATGCTGAAGTCACAATATGCCTGCTTCAACCCTTATACTTTACTGCCTTTCTTACATACAGCGAAAGAGTATCCCCCCAGCAAAGCCTAGGCAGGCAGGCCTTGATATCAGATAGTACTGGGGAGGAAAACGGAGTGTGCATTCACAGTGATGGAAGTCACTGCTCTGAAAAACACAAGCATCTCCCAGCCAGTGTATGTGGGTTTGAATCCCAATAATTCCCATGCAGAGCTGAGGAAACAAAAGCATATACAGCACCAGGATGACTCTGCTTAGAGTCAGGCTTTGAACTCATTTTGCTGCAAAGAGGCAGTTGGGAAGTTGCACTGGCTACAATTAAAGAAAAAAAACCCCATCTTTTAATAACCTCCATTCTTACATGTGCAGTTGGAGCTACATATTTCATGAGTGCATCTATTATAGATACCATATGTATAAATACAGGTATTTTTAAAGAGAAATAGCAAGTATGGTTATCTATCTGCTCATCTGTATGTAGTGAGTGTGTGTTTATGTGCATACCAGAATTACGCAGTGAGAGTAAGGTTATATAGTTAGAGATAGCAACAGCTTTGGTTTATTTTAGTTGCAAATTTCCAACACAAAAAGCTGCATGCGAAGAGGTGTAATAAAGCAGTATGAAAGCAGGCAGTGATTAACAGCCCAGAAGCTTCTTTTATCATTATCAACTATTTACAAAGAAGCATTTATATGTTTCCCCATCTCTGGGGAGCTGGCACTTAGCATTAAAAGTACATGAATAATGAATGAAGCCCCGTGTACCTTATGGCCTTTTAATAATGCAAAAATCTTAGGATTCAGGATATGATACAGGTAAACAAAGGGAGAAAGGCTGGTGGGCGGAAAATATTGTGAGAACCCTATGCAAAGGACAATTTATAGCGTGTGGGGGTTAAACTGTAAAACAGAAGCTTGTTGTAAAGCTCTTCTAATTGGAAAAATAACCCAGGAAGCAGGAATACACAGAGCAGAGGGTCTAGTCACCGCTATGACTGCAGTCCTGTGAGAGCTGGAGAGGGAGTGGGAAAGTGAGTGAGAGAGCAACAACCACCTTAAGGGCATCCTGCGTGTCATCGAGGCAGTAGACCCGGATGCTGTACTCCAGAGAAGAGCAGGACAGCGGTCCAAAGATGGCCAGTTTGAGACGTTTGGCTGCTGCTTTGGTGATTGACTGTCCCACCAAGGCATATGTGCTGAGGGTTTCTGTCAGGATATGGCAGGCCTCCGGGTCCAGCTGGATATAGCACGGAGTGGTGAAGTTTTCCTCCCCGACCACCACCACATCCTAAGGGAGAAAGAGGCCAAGTTAGAGCTCCCAGCCCCTCAGAGCTGCTCGCCTTTGAGACAGTAATGCCCCTTTCAAGCCTGGATGATGCACAAAGTCCTTGCTGTTTGCACCTTAGATTAATCAAGATTTAAAATTCCTGCTTCTGGCTTTTCTCCAGCGTAAGCACAGGGAGGGGATGATTTCTCTGGGGTGCTGGTGGTGATGCTGGTGGTAGAAACCTCCTTCTGTCCTCACTCACCTAAGACTTGTAACTCTTGCCTCCGGGCCCTGCAACAGCTTTTAAAGCCCTGGGCTTAGGCAAATAATGAAAATATCACCAGTACTTTATTGAAAAAGATATTGCAGAACTAATCATTCGGTGACCATTATTTAACATCAGTAGTCGCAGGCGTGTTGAAGAAATAACTGCCCTTCACTTCCTAAGCATGACAATAAGGAGTTATAAAAACTCAAGGAAGGGAAGTAAGCTCTACAATGGCTGAATGCCACATCTACATGAAATATCACCTGCTGCTTCATCAGAATAATCCTCCGTGATGACACTGCAGGGTGAAGAAAAAAAATACAATACAGCCCGAATACAGACAACCTCCCCACCCTGCACGTAAAGGAAAACAGCTCCCCTGCTAATTTCTCTATTCAACCCTGAGTGTAATATCCTGCACGCAACACAAGGTGCTTTGAATGGCTTTGAGAGAGAGCAGAAGTGAAAAGGCAGCAGTGGATGACGGACACCTCTTGCAAAGCCACCAAGCGCCACATGATGCTCGGCACAACTCATCTGTTTCACCCGTGCTGCCTGCAGGTCTGCAGCACAACATACACATCTGGCAGCTGAGCAGCGTGGGCTCAACTGAAATTTGGCATTAAGCTCAGGCCCCCTAGTCTCAGGAAAGGCAAACATGCCATGTTTGCAGGGGTGGCACAATCCTTCTGGAGGGCAAGGTGCTGCAGAGCTGATTGCACCCCCCCTACGTCCACGCCAGCAACTGGCTCTGGCAGGAGGCACTGGCCCTGAGCGATGCTGCAGGGGCGTGCATACATGCGCGTGTGTGTGCACGTGTGTGTATGCATGTGGGCGTGCACATGTGGGGCTCAGCTTGGAAGAGCTGCTCCAGAATTGAGTGGTGGAAGAAGATGGTGGTGCAATGGCCAGGGACCCTGTGGATGCTGCGGAGGCTGCGCTGGCACCAGTGTGTGCATAGCCGGAGGAGCAACTGCTCTGTCAAGGGCAGGAGGAGGACGGGGGAGAAAATGAAGAGGTGCCAGTAACACACAGACACAAATAAGGAACATATGTGCAGTGCCAAGAATCAGGCTAGTGGGGTGCAGATTAGTTGGCGAGACAGACCCGTGTTTGCTGCATACTCCTTCCCAGTGTGAGGAAGAGCCGGTGCTACAGGCAGGGGACAAAAGCAAGAGCCTTTAGAAGGCAATGCCGGACATAGCACTCTTGCTGCTGTCAGCCCAACTGCCTTCAAAAGCCACCCTGCCCTCATTAAACCTACCGGTAGGAGAAGGTGCCCTTGCCAAATTAATTATGTGAGACCAAACTGGTGGCAGCAGGTACCTAGGAGCACAGAGCTGGAAAGGAAGGCTCTGCCAGCATGGCCCAGCCTTGCTGAAAGCATTACTTTATGCTCCAGTTACAGTGGAAGATCCTTCTGCCACCCTGCCCCAGGGCATCCTCCTGCTGCACTACTGGCAAGGAACCACCCCAGGCTCCCACCAAGCCTGCATTGCCCAGCAACACTTGTGCAGGTCCCGAGTTAAGAGGGTGCAGAGTTGGATCCTGGCCGCATGAACTGAATCAAAGTGATGCTCCACCAACACTTTAGGAGGGAAAAAGAAAAGAAAAGTAAGGCCTATAAATTCTATTAAGCTGGCTGATGTCTTGATGCTGAAGCAGGAGTTCATTTGCAGCATTATTTTCACTTTTTTGAAAACAGACTATAAACCAGGGGAGTTCAAACTACTCTGTAAAAAACATTTTCTTACTTGCAGAATCGAGTCAGAAATTATTTTCAGCTGTTGTTTTCTATTTTGCCTTTTCTCTTCCCTCTCTCTCTGTGACTTTGGCACAATATCCTGCCATGACCAAAAGCTCAAGTGTCAAAATCCTGCGACGAAGGCTATTTAATGGAAAATAGCCAGAACTAGGAGGCACCAAATTGCCCCAAGACAGCATCTCTGTATAGGCACTGGGCAGCTTAGATACCTGGTGTACTCCTGCCTGCCCGCAGCAGCCATGCATCTCGCACAGAAAACCCGAAATACAGGCATCCTGGTTCGGAAAGGCAGCTGAAGGATTAGCAGAGAGCCCTGCACAGAGTAAGCACACAGGATGGAGCTCTGGAGCCTCACCTCCCAAGGCCCCTGGCCAGCCTGGTGCTTCAGCTGGATCTGCCAGTCCTCCGTGTTCGGTTCTGCGCAGTGGTGCATGGTTAAAATGACGGGCCGGGTTAGCAGCGCTCCTGGCGGGCCGCAGCTCACCACTGGCGTCAGCAGAGTTTGGCTGTCTTCTACAGGTGGCCTAACAACAGGACAGTAAGATGGATATGTTAAGTGAGTTGAAAAAGGCAAAAAGGTACATTCAGATATGTAAAAATAAAAAATCCTTCTCTTAAAATGAAAAGATTGTGCAAGCAAAGAATGGGTGGGTTTGGTTTGTTTTTTGTTTTTTTTTTCCCCAAATCCCAATTTTATTTTTTTTTTTGCCAAATATCACTCATTTGTCAAAATGTAGGTTTAGGTGGCAGCAAATTATAGACCACACTTGCTAAGCACCCCCCACTCTGAAGGATCCTTGCAGACCATATGCAGAGGCGTCATTTCACCCACTGCCGAAATGCAGTCACTGCTGCATTTGGCAGTTACTTAGCAGCACACAAAAATGAGCAGTGGCTCTTGTAAGCACCACATGTGAGAATTATTTACTGTCTGGACAGAGAAAATTGAAGAACAAAGGAAGAGAATGAACTAATGAGCACGTCTGAAACCTCGTAAGTGGTATACAGCACATCTGAGATGTGTAGTTTGGGTTCAGAGCCATCACCATACCCACTGATACTCCATTTTACTTAAAAGGCATTCAGATCTACTAGAATGGCTTTTGCAAATATGCCTGCAGGGAGCAGGTGTCACCGGTGGCGGGGGAGAAAGGGCGAAGGGATGGTAAGGAATAGTGCAGAGGGCAAAACACACTCGCAAAGCCTGAGATTTCTAGTGATAACCCAGAGCTGTTCAGTTAAAAACATGGGTATTGTCCAGCACGCTTGCGGCCAGCCACTAGGAATGGGTGATATGGGAAATCACATAAATATATAGGACGCATTGCATACACTGTAGTTTGTAAACAAGAGAGTGTGTGTGTGCGTGCCCGTGCATGCGTGTGCATGTGTGCGCATGTGTAAACTATCCCAGACTAACTGCTGAGGAGCTTAAAATCAGAGGAAGCATGAGTGCCTTTAACTATCCCGACATCTGGTGTATGACAAATACAGCTGAATGTGCCTCATCAACTGCTTCCCTAAACAATACAGAGGACAAATTCATGATCCAGAAACCAGCAAGCTGGAGATTAAAAGTGTTCAATGTGATCTGCGCTTAAACTCCAGATCTGCCCACAGGACCTCCCATCTTCTGCTCCGGCTAAGGGTTCAATCCCTTGTTGCATTTACAAATCCTTATATTTACATCTGTATTGGTCTTAGTGGAATTAGAGACAACATTAAATACTGTTTATTTCTGCAAGTCTTTGCATTTACCAAAAGAAAGAGCAAAAAAAGTAGCTGTAATCTTAGATAACATTTACAAGGAGGCCAAATCAGGAGAGAAGCTGTTTTGATATCCTATTTATTGCACCTATTCTGGCTACTGCAAAGATATGTCCACAGGCATATCCTAATTTTGCCCACCTTAATTCTCCCTGAATAATCCATTAATCCCACAGAAAATGAAAGACAAACTTTTGAGAAATCCTTTTTCAAAGTGGGATGAAGACACTTTTGAAAAGTGTCTCTTGTTGCTACAAATGTTGTGGGAGGCTTTTATAACATTTGAGGAAAAAAAAGGTCTGGCATAGAAAAATTTAAATCTATGCAAAACAGTAAATCCAGATGATATGCATCTGTGGAAATTAACTGAGGAGTTTACTAAATGACTTAACAATTGTTTCTGAAAAGCTGTGGACTGGAAATAAACAGCTGCGATAGCTGCCTTCTAAAAAAGATGTAAAATATAACAATCTGGACAGCTATCATGTATTATGCCAGTTATTTTAGCCTAACAAACAGTACACAAAAGAAATGAAACACTAGGTACTAGTCCAGCTCCTCTTGCATGCTGTAGGGATCTCTGGGTTCAGATTAAGACGAGCAGGGATCACTCTCTTGCAAGACTGAACTGAATAAATAATTGAGCAGGTTTTGACTAAAATGTTGCTTCTTTTTCAGATTCATTTACTTCAGGTTTTTTTCATAAGAATCAACAAGAAGCTAAAAAACGCTCACAGTGTGGTGGTGGTTTTCAATGGTCATCTACCTTGTGCATTAATGGATATTTGAACACTCTCCTACAGTCTAAATCAAGAAATTTCAAAAAACATAATGTCTTATGAGAAAGATCTTTCAAAATTACAATATTTGTCTGGAAAGCTACAGCTATGACAAGCTATAGACTTGACCATCTAGTTAACCTAACTTCATCTGAAAGACTACTGACCCATGAAGAAGGAAGGAAAAAAATACAAGTTATCATAGTTTTTTGGACTGAATTACAAAACCAGCAGTCAAAAAGAATATAGGAGGGAATATATCATGATTGCCATAAAAAAATTCATACAGTGTCTTTTACGTGAAAAATGAGTTAAAATCGACAAGAATCTGAGCACTGATGCATGCAGTTAAAAAAAGCCAAAAGGTCATTAAAATAATACGGTATTGATAAATCATACAGCCTAAAGTTGTCTCAAAGTAAACTTAAGTTTAGTCACTGCTCTGTGATGAAATTTTGTTAGCTGTTAAATTCTCTGATGGAGGGCACGATTCTGCGCCGCAACATTTTATATCCGATTAGCACAAGTATGAAAAATGATGCAGAACACGAATTCGGGAGGTGCTCCAGACCGCACAGTCAGCAAGCGAGGTGGGAAGCAGATACAAGCATACAAAAGACATGCAAAAAATAGATAGGCTTAGTATTTTTTCCCCAAGTTGGTAAACAGCAACTTTCTCACCAGACTTACAAGATTTATTGCCAAGTGGATGAGATATGCATGCTCCTGATCTGGGTGTTATGATACAGGACACTGATGAGTGAAGAGCAGAAAAATGGGCCAACTGCAAGGGCAGTTGACTTTGCAGCCCCCAGTTGCCAACCAAACATGCATCTGAGTCTGGCACCACAAAGCTATGGAACACTGCTGGTCCCAATGACTCTCCTCCACCACCCAACTTATGCAGATACTGACCCACCTCAGCTCTCCACCAATTTGGGGACTGCAAGTGACCTAACTATTTTAAGCCTTTAAAAACTGAGAAATAATGAGTTGCAGAGAAGTTCTCAAGTGATGTGAAACAGGGATGAGTGTCACTGAATAGGTGAAATCCCAGCTCTATTGAAGTCAGTGCTAAACCTCTCCCTGACTACTGTGAGGCCAGGATTTCTACTCACAATGTGGAAGGCAATGTAAATAGCAACACAATCATTAAATTTACAGTTAACAGTAAATAAAGAATCATTGCAAGTAACAATGAGGGCCAGAAAATAATGCAAAAGATCCAAAGAGGGTAAAAATATGGGCAGGAAATAAAATCCTATTAATTGTACAGCAGCTCATGCTTCCAGAGGAAAAGTTGTTCCACACATAGTTATTTAGTAGCAAAGAAAAGCAACAAAAGTGAAAAAGATCTCAGGTGAGCTTACTGCAACGCAGCAGGCATCAACTTGTAATGTGACACAGTGGCAAAAAGCAAATCTGATTTCTGGGGCTGTATGGGACAAGGCATGTCAGAGCACGCTGAGGTGATATTCCCTTTCCTATCCAGCTCTAATGTGACTGCAGGTAGCAGGGTGTTTAGGGACCACAGCAAGATCTCGGAAATAAACACCTGAAACCCAGAGGAATGAGGCTAAACCACACAATGGCACATACAGCAGAGAGGTACCCTATGACAAGTGACAGGAAAAAGGAACAAAAATCTCTTTTCTTATTTCTCACCGTTTCTAATTTCCATTTTAAGACAAAAGGATTATGCCTTACTATAGCTAATGAGAACAGAAACAGATGCAGTAGACAAGATATATTATACAAGAGATATTAATCTTTCTGCTTCAAGGCATAAACCCAACACTAATTGATGGGATTAGTAAACAACAAATTCCCCTGAAGACAGGTTATTGTGTAGTCATTCATTACGAGCAATTTTCTACCTTCTCCTGGAGCAGGTGATGCAGCACCAGGAAAGCCAAGACACTGGCCTAGACAAGCGCCTGTTTTAATCGAATATTGCAATTTCTGTGTTGTAGATCGCAGGAAATCCAGCACAAACACAGACACCAGGGAGCATACAGAGCAAGGGAGTTATCTCCTCTAAAGCAGAAAGATCTTTGAGCAGACATCTTCAAAACTGTGGGCCAGAACCTACTTTCAGGCTGTTATCCAAAAAAGAACCCCAAACCCCAAAAAACCCCATCCACATGTGCTTCACTGAAGTGAAGCAGCAGTCTTGGGATGACTTATTACATGGGACTGGGCATTCAGCTGTGCTAGTATGACTCTAAAGTCACTTCACTGCAGGCGAAAGAGATGTTTTTGTTTTACAGAGATCTGACTGAGACTAAAATTCAATCCCCTGTTTAGCATTGCTATTAAAAGGCACTAACAGTAACTGAAAGGTCTTCAGATATTTTTAGATCTCGTTCCATCCCGCACCGCTTATCAAGAACAGTCACCTTTTATTTAAAAAAAAACAAACTTTTATTCATTATATCTGGTCCCTTCACAATCAAATTTGTGTTTTTAATGGGATTACTCATTCAAAACCGTCTCCCTGTAATAAGCCAGACCATATTCATTAAGGTAGCTGTCAGACAGCAGATGTGAGCACAACTAGAGAAATCTCTGCTCCTCAGTGGGCCTACATTGTGCTCCCTGGCACCGTGCGTAGATGTTGCAGGCAATCACAGCAGCTCAGGAAGCACAGGATGGAGCAGGAAAAGAGGAATGGCTAACTCATAGCAACAGATGGCAACCCTTCTACACAGCTTAGCCAAAAGTCAGAGGGAAGACATTTTATTTCTCCTTTCATTGCTGGGGCTTTATTTTTAATATGCGTTCCTTCTTAAGTTTCAAACTTAATATTCTTGACTGACCCTGGTTCTTCTGCTAGTCTATCTTTAGAAAGAAAATGATCTGAAAAGTTTTCTTCCCCTTTTGTTCATGCTCTGGTCTTTTTTATTTTGACTTTTTCCATTATAATGACTGGCACTTCATGAAATTGTCTTCTGGAGTTGCAAAGTAATTTTGTTTATGCAACTGAGATACAGAAGGAAGGTGGAGAAACAAAATGTGGAAGACTTCCATTTCTTTTATTTCACATCACTAAGCTTAGAGTTTACTGGTGAAAAAGGCAACATTGCTCCTTGGATCAAACTCATCGATCAGCTGCGTGACTTTAATATGAAGTCTATACATACACTGTGAAGCCACTCATCCAAATCCTGACAAGGCTCACCCGACTATTCTCTCTTTCAAGGTAGCTAATTTGGAAGTTGCGCAATTTGTGTGTGTCTTCCATGAAGATCTTCAGGACGCTTGCTCCATTCTTCAGGGTTGTCACATTTCATGGGCACGGCGAGATCCACTCTCATTTGCACCATCTCCCGTGTGATGGCTTATACAGGAGTGTCCTTCACTGTGCCATATTTAGTGCAGCTCTTGCCTCTGATTAGAGTATGCAAGAGTAGCTCCACCTAAAGCTGTGCAAGCTCGGCAGGGGTTCATGCGGGAACACGGGAACTGCCACACAAGATCAAACCAGTGGTCCATCAAGGCCCAGACCCCGTCTAGCACTGACCAGTGCCAAATGTTTCCAAAGGAAGCACACAGCTCCGCTAATTTAGCTCACAGCTAAATTTGTTTTTTAACCTGAGGCAGTCAAGAAAATCCTGAAGGTTGGAGGTTTACACTCATGCTATTTAATCCTAAATTGTGTAAGACCTAGGCTCTCACAGATGCTCACGGGAACAGGCTCTTGCCAGGTACTGGTCACAACAACGTGTTTATTTTATAGCTGAAACCACAGCTCAGGAAGGCACCCCTCCTTGCAAATCTCAAAGTCAGTGATACTTCCCCAGACTAAGGGAGAGAGCATCTGATCACCATTGAAAAAGCCAATGAGCTTCAAGACAGAAACCTGCAGATATTCTCATAGGCTTGTCATTTTTTCAGTTATATATATCTATATACAAACACATACACGTATGTGCACAAACATAGATATCCTTTTCCCCACTGTAGCTACTTCACAAAGCACATGGACCTTTCCACGAGGTCAACATGAATCTCTCACGCCAGCCAGGGATCAGAGCCCAGTAGCTGCTTGCCATCCATCCTGCCCTGAATGACAGGCAGAATGAGGATGAGCTTGCAGTGCAGGAACAGGAAAACCAGACTGTATCAGTCTAGAAAAAGAGAAAACCCACTGAGCCACAAGCACGCTAACACACTTGGAGAAAACAACTGCCTCCAAGTAGTATTTATTGCAAGCCATCAGAACCCCAATTCACCGCAGAAAGATAATGCTTTTAGGGTGACCCTCCTGCCGTCACATGCTTTGATGGATATGAAATGGAATAAATAGAGTGTCTCGGAAAGCTCTCCTAACCAATCTGCAAGGCAACACTTATTATGTTGGGTTATGAAGTCTCTCAAATGTCTGTACTACAGGTTTCAGAGACTAACTGGGGAAATGTATGAGGAAAACGAAGGAAAAGAAAAGGGGAATTCACAGGAGTCTGAGGGATAACAGATTTCCTGTTTCAGCTTGACTGTTCAGAAGTTGTTTAATATTTCTACAAACAAAGTGTGAGCTAAATTTTAAGCTGCTGGAGATATGTGAGCTGTGATGGTACGCCTTTCTGTGGCTGCACTGATTCCATTTAGGGTAGCGCTACAGGGACCACATTCTCACCTCAATGGCGGTTGTATATCAAGAAAAAGAGCCTGCCTTCATTTCTGATTATAACACCCATTTTATAGTTTCCTCTATGTCCCCTTCCAAACTACATCAACACACGACAGGACTTTTCAATCCATACACATTTACACAGTGCACATGAAAATAGGGTCTCACAGGGTTTATTGAACACACTCCAGTTACTGCTTGGCCACAAAAGTGAATGTCTGCAGCTAGTCCTTACTGTGGACTATCACTCTCCGCTGGAGTGCTGTAAGAGTGCAGCAGCGGATTTAAAAGATAATTACGCTGCACACTAACTTGTAGTACCCGTATGACTCCAAGTATATGAAGCAACATCTGTGGCCCATACAGTCAGAAAAAGAGGCTTTGACCAAGCTGCAGCTCTGCTACAGAAAGCAAAGTGTCTGGTAACACAGTCGTGCAGCAGGAGACCATTACAGCTGGGTGCTGGGTGCCACCCACCCCCTTCTGCTCCTGGGCACCTGGGAAAGGGAGCAGGTAACGGGGGAAGACGTTACAGTTCTGCAGTGTTTAAGCCCTGTTCGGTGACTATTGTGTTCTGAGTGATCTAGACAACACCCGATGAGCTCCATTTCAAATGTCCTAGAAGTGGTTGGTTTCCATGAGCATGAAGAGCCTGGCATGCTGCCATAAATCAAACAAGCAGCTGGGGTCTGTGTGCCCAGGAGGCGAATACCACCATGATGGGATGAGCCCTGCTGCCCCGATGGCGCAGCCCGCTTTCTACTCTCCTCTCCTAGGGAAAGAAATCACTTCTCAAGGTCTTCATTGCAAGTGAGGATTAGTGAGGATTCACACCTTTCCGTTCACTTCTACAGGCATACTTCAGCACACTTGCTTAGTTTGGCAGAGCACAGCTCCAAGCATGCTTTTCCCAATACAGGTTAACCTATCCTTCTATCCCCTGCGTGACCTGCTGAGTAACAGCTATCACAAAGCATGCAGAGGAAGCTTTATGACCCTTGAAGAAAATAAATCAGACTAGCATGTGACATTGGTTGTCCACAGCTGCATGAATAAGGAGGTAGGGATTCCCTCCATAACTGGCTGGAAAGAAAATAATTGCACATATAGCTCCTCCTAGGAATGAAATAAAATGTTTTTGGAAGAATTAGATATTTTAAAAAGGAAGATTTGGAGGCAAGCTGAATAACAGGGGATGCCCCCTGATTTTATTTTTTTTTTACCTTCTGCAGGAAAGAGTCCTTTTTCAATGCTGTTTATAAGTGTCTTTAAAACACAGCCAAAAGTAATAGGAATACAATCAATACTAGATATGAACAGAGACACTTTTTCTGTAGCTGCAATTAGCTGCTTTCAAAGAGCAGGCGATGAATAATGTATGCAAAAGGGTGGGTGGAGGATTTACTTATTTTTTCTTTAAGCAGATTATTTTAGCATGGGTGAAAGACTACCAAGCTAAAGAATAGTGTTCAATATCACGCAGTGTATAAACAGCTGTGGCTTAGCACATAATAAAAGCCATTAAGGGGCTGAGCCAAAAAATGTATCTAGCTATGAGGAGGGGAAAGAGGCAAAGTACCATGTAATGATTGCTTAGATTCACATTTGCCATGCAGCCTTTGTGCACATGAGTCCATTCTGCAGACTAAGATCTCGCCTTTCTCTTCATTAGGTCTTCCTAAACTGCTTCAAATGGTATCTTGGTGTTTTCAGAAACTTTTTTGATGCCAAGGCTGCCCGATCACTCAGTAGACATTAAGATCTAGAGTATGAATTGGCCACGCATGCAGATAACAGGTGAGAACAACAGGAGTCATCCCAACATTGGCTCTGGGTGGCCCTCGGCGTGCTGTGCCTGGGGCTAAGCAGGACAACTACTTGCTTACTTCTACCTCGGTAGCAAGGAGGGGTGAAGGACACCAAAAGCTTTGGCTCCATCCTCTTCACCGCATGGACTAGCCGAGCCCATGAAGGGTAAGATAAAAATTCACCTTCATTATAATAGGAGAGGAGATTTTCCAAGCCAGGTGCTCCGGCACCTGTCCCTCTGCTTAGCTGATTTGTCACCCTGCTCCTCCGCTCCCTTCTCCTTTGCAGCACAGGTCTTTATTAAGAGATTACCTCACACCTTCTCCGCCGCACCAAACTCACACTGGCACATTTTCCTCACTTCTGGCTATGATTCAGCATCCCCCCCAGCTTGAGGGCTTGCTGCAGAACGCAACTCTTGGTTAGAAAAGCAAAAGTCTGAGCTGGTTTTGTGGCAAAGTTTATCTTTGGCTTTGCTCACATTTAGCTCCAAGTCAGCAAATAGCTTCAATGCAGTTGACTTTGCATAAGCATATTACCACAGGTCTTTAGTTACTACATTTTGCCCCTCCGTTAATGCACAAGCAAATAAAGGCAGTCTTTTTACCTCATGTTCTCCTTCCTGTGAACTGTCACATACATTTCATAGACTCTCCCTTGTGGAACGGCCCCTGCTGGGATCAGCAAGCTTACTCCTGCAGAACAGAAGAGACACAAAAGATAAAATGGAGAAAAAAAAGGCAAGTGGGCCTGTGAAGAGCAGTGACAGGAGAGGCAGAAGATGAAGCCTGTGATGCCAGATTTTCACCCAACCTCGCCAGCAGATTCTAAATGACCTCAGCAACTCGGGAGAAAAAGTATTTACTGCAATCCTGGCATCTCCGGTGGTCAGCTGGTCTGTTCTTATTCCTCTTGTGCATCGGCACTGAAATAGGGGAGTGGAGAAGAGGATTTTCTTCCCTTCCATTTTATCTTATTTAAAGAGCAGACAGACGGTTACGCTGCTGCTTACCTCGTAAAATGATGGAAAAACGAACAGCTCTGACTAAAACTTCCAACAGCTGTAACGGGACATCTCTCCCTAGGCAATTCTTACTTAATTAAAATCAGGAAAGAAAGGCAGTGCAGCACTGTCCCAGGAAGCAACAAGAACTAGTTGTTTTCTGAAAGATGGCTTCTGCGACTGGCATCCTGTCTTTCAATGCACTCAGCTTCTAATTAGACTACCGGGGAGACAAAATTGGGCTTCTTGGTATTTTGAATGTGCCTAGTCCTGTAGAGTGGCTCAAAATCCGGGTATCCAGCCTTGAAAAAAATGTGGGCAAATATGCTCTGTGCCCTTTTCAGTGCTGATTAGCTGCACACTTGATTACAAAACACTGTTCTTACATTACAGCCATTTCAGAAATGTAGCGAGTCCCTAGAAAACAGAGGGTCCTGTCGTTACACGACAAACATGGCACATGAACCAGCTATTTCACTCTGCTGGACATGTCTCAGCCAGCTGCCTTCGCAGATGTGGATTAGCTGGGAATCAGCAGCAAGGATCTTAATACAGTTATTACTACATAGCTGAAAACAAACCTACAGGCAGATTATTTACATATATACAAATGCACAAGAGAGGCTTTATAGAAACTGTACAGCTCCGTCTCCTCTTCAGCATACATGGTTTGGTTACGCTGGTGCCCTCCCATGTGTTGGTGTACAGGGGCTCAGTCCCATACCTGGCTTTGAAGGGGAGGGATTAGCTAGGAGAGCATTTTGCATGAATGCCTTCTGACACTTGTTTATTTACAGGCCTGTTACAACCTCACTTGTGCATGTTCTCAGCTGTAACAGGGCAGGCGTAGCGTAAATGAAGGGCTTTGATCATATCACTAGGAGGATATACATACATCTAGAAGCAGCACGGAGGCATACATGGTAGCAGTAGAAAGATTGATACATTTTACAAAACATATTTTAATCATTTTGAAGGCATTACAGCAATAAATAACCATTTTTTTTCTTTACAAATTGGTATTAATGTATGTGAATTAAATGTGACTAATAGACATCGCTGACAACGTGCACCACCATGGCATAAGAAACCTGAGTATTAATATCTACCTTCAGCTGCTACTTAGAGAAATGTGAAATCCAGGATTGTATAGCATGAATTTTCAACATTGCTCAGCAGTGAGCACCAGATTTCTTTAAGTAGTTCAGCTTTCACTCAGGCTCCTAAATTTAATAGCTGTTTTTGCCCCCTGTTCCACGGTAGCTCGGAGAGGAGGGCTGCTGCTCACCGACCACTTTTGGCTGCTTCCTGGGCAGTTTGGGGCTGCGTCCCGGAAGGACCAAACCACCTAGGTCCTGGGCCACCTAGGCATTTTACTTTCTCCATAACATCAACAAACAAGAAAAGATGCAGCAAAAGAGCAAGAGACAAGGGTAGGCACTATCTCCTCAGTCAGGGCACCGTGCTGTAAATGGCCAAGAACTGACCACCAGATGTAAGGGAGGAAGGCAGAAAAGCTGTGAGACCTTGAGCTGTCTCATCAGCAAGTTGTGGTCTCACATGTGTTGTGGTCCTACCTGGACTCAGAGCTCCAGAGAAACCGGGCAGGGGGACTCATGACCACTGTATAGCCTGCATATTCCCCACATCCAGTGTTTTATGCATTTGATTCAACCCCACTTCAGATGTTAATGTTGCTCTTCATTAGCACGCCAAACCCACGGGAACATCTAGGTGCTGAACTTCCTTTGAACGTCAACACTTCATTTAGGAACCAAACAGCAGTATGGCCCTCCTAAAATATCTGGCTGTGGAAACCGAGCTCTCCCAAGGCTGCCCAGGAGCTCTCTGGATACTCTGAAACTGCCTCCTGGTGCCTGGGTGGCTTGAAGGAAGCCCGGCAGCCTGGCTTCATACCGTATGAGAAAGACTGAGCAGCACTTTGTAATTACATCAAAAAGCACTCGCTGCTCAGTCCCTGTCTTTCCTAGTTGTAAAACAAGTCGACAATATGTATAACAAGGAGAGAAATATAGAAAAGACACTCTTGGGCCTTATTTTCCTTGGGTGTGTAATGTGTGCAGGAAAAAAAGCCTTCCAAAAATTAGTATTCTGCTGTCCTGCTTCAATACCACACAGTCTGCAATGAATTGGAAGTGGAACAACCAATTTGTTTTTTAATTAATTTGTCCTTTTTATGTGTGATGACAACATTGAGACTTTCTGGTTTGGAGTCCCTTTTCCAGAGCTGCATGAAAGGAAAAGGTCAAGGATGTTGAATCTCACTTCACACAGGGAAGCTCTGAAGCCTCACATGTCTCAGAAAGTGGCTAAGAGCCCTGCAATATTCTGTTAAAAAGGTGGCCAGGACTTTGGGAAAAGAATACTTGAAATACTTTGGTAGACCTAAATGGAGGGTAAAAAACATCTGTTTGTTCTGAACAAAGAAAAGGCAGAGTCTCTGGAGTGACCCTGCTTTTTCCTGCATAAAAGCAAGTTAAGTCCACTTAAAAACACAAAACAACTGAGCCTTAAAGCCAACATGGCTAGCACTTACCTGAATTGGGAATTACTAGGTGACCTCCTAAAGAGTTGAAGGTCCCAAATGCGGTGCACGACGGGTCTGTTTGCCGAGCAAGGCTCTGGTTTTTCATGTTCAGGGTCTCATTCTCCAGCAGAGACTGTGTGATCTGCGGGGACAGCTTGGAGGAGAAGTCAGAGAGGTCATCCTGGGGAGTGACTGCGCCAGAAGTGTTATAAACCTTGATTTTCAGATTGGGCAGCGGATCCAGGATTGGAGAATTGGTCATTGGGATTTTATCAGAGACATCATGCAAGGCGTAAACAGGACCCCTGTACATGGCTGCAGCAGAAGTGAGGTCTGGTGGTACCGCCAGGAGGTCTGCATTGGAGATGAGAAGGAAGAACCGTATTACTTCTCTATTCTGATGACTTTCTTCTGGGTAACGATTTGGGTTTGCATTCTACATTTTGCATTTTGCTTTTCATAACAAAGGTTAAGATACGCAAAGTCCTTGCAGACTGACCTTGGTCTCCTTTTCCATGCATTTCTCCAGCAAACTCCCAGGGCTCGTATTGCCCCAGCCGCTATGGAATCTAATTGTCATACAAAATTACAGCACGTTTCTGCTCTAAGGATTTTTCACTGGGATTATTTTTCCAGGCTGCACTCAGATTTCCAGTATGACACGCTTATTCAGGGCAAGATGTTTTCCATACTCAGTAGATCTAGTTTTATTAACTAATACCCCCTCCCTAAATGCTAAGTGAGAATCATTAACCCATTTTTCTAATTGGCCTAACGATAGCATTCCTGAAATAAAGGCCAGAACAAACCTATGACGTCATCATGCCCATGACTCCCCGCAGTGGGGGATTAGTACCTGCATCACACTCTTTGGAGATTTGTTTTAAAAGTATCCCCAGCAAAGAAAATGACACTTCTGCTAATCTTCCCACATGACAACTCTCTTGTCATCTTAACTCTTACTTTGATTTATTCTTTTTGCACACATATCGGGAAAAAAGAGGAATTCTACAGCCCTAATATGGGTCTTGAAAAAGCCAGCACTAACTTTAGAGTGTTTTTTTCTGGCCAATGAAGTGTGGAAATAATCAAGCTGTTATGCACCAGTGATAAAAATGCTCATTATTAAATGATGTTCTACCGCAACTACGTCTTCTACATTGTTTATTGAAAGTACAGTACTTCTTAAACTACTATTTATGCCTGTGGAGACGGGGCACAGTAAAAAAGGCTATTAGTGAAACAAAGGGTAGGAAGATGTGATAGAATTACTGTACTGTAATATCACTCCTGTGATGAATCCTGCCTCCGTTGTTTCTGTCAGAGCTTTGCCTTTGATTTAAATTTGAGCTGGACCTGTATTTCCCTAAATGTCTCTGTGTTTCACTCTCACATTCACACTCTCTCTTCAGAAGTTAAATTCCTCTGCTTTATGCTCTTGAGCACATCTGAAAAACGCCAACGTGGGTTTTGAGCACTTGACCATCAGAAACAAATGGATATAATCTTTCTCCCTTTTATGAAGTGCCAACAAGCATCCAGCGAATATCATTCATGCAGCCCAAGAGACCACAACCTTATAGCATCTCCCCAAATTGGTCAACATGGAGTGAAATGACAACTAACCTTGCCTTGCAGCCTTGATGTTAACAGGCTGAAATCCCCCATTTAGCGCCGAGGAGTCGATAATATCTGACTCAAAGTCACGGTGGTTCTTGCGATAGACAAACAGGGCCACAACCACGGAAATAGCCAGGCACACGATCACGGCTATGACGATCCCAACGTAGAGAGCAACATCATCTGAGTCAGGAGCAGCTAGAGGGAGAGACGCCAGGAACCTTGAAGAAATGTGTTCCTCACAGGGACTTTCAAGAAAACACATTCTTACTATTCTCGTTTCCTGCAGATATTTACTACCTTTTTTATAGGTTAATTTAAAATCCATTTCCAAAGCTATATAACAGGTCTATGCCCTTTTGACGGAAAATGATCTTTGATTTCTCTCTAACTTGTGTTCTGACTCTTTCCCCATCTACTCGTTCATCCAGCTAGTACCCAGGCTGTGAACTACTAAGCATAACACACGTTATAGACTTAGTCTCATGAAGCAAATTCACCCTATGAAATAAAATAGTATGCCTTAGTGACATAGTGTCATAATATTGGTATTTAGTGGTTCATCTGATAACAAAAAAAATCTTGTGGGTTTTTAAACTTCAGAAGCCTTATTTTTTAATTAAAAAAGAAGTCAAAAACCCCAAAAAGTCAATTTCCTATGGAATACCTGGAATATCAGGATGTATCTTTGAGTTTGCTTTTTTTTGAACTATAATTTGTCAAGCCATTTTTCCCTTCCATCCATTTCCCTTTAAAAAAAAATTAATCTAGTAAAGCAGAGAATCAAACACTGAATTCTCATCACTGGCATTAACACATCTGTATTTGGATAAAAGCCAAAGCAAGCACAAGAAATAATGTGGTAATTTACAAAAAGGAACCCAGATTTATTAGAGCTGTCTTGTGAGAAAATGGCTATGATATTTCTACTAGCTGCTTATACCGTATCTTCGGCACTAATTCCAGGCTAATCTCTAGCATCATTATCCACTAGACATTTTTTTCTGAAAGGTCTGAATATATGACCAAAATTTGATGTGCTTCTATACAGTGAAGAATCCCAGTTTTAGAGAGAGTGTAATGAAAAAAGAAAGTGCAAAAACAAATAAGACTTTTTTAGTAGCCCATTTTTGTTAGTTTGAAACATGTGAAATAATTTTTATTTTACTTTTTTGCTCCCTGCCTTCTAGCCATTTAAGCCAGGCTGCCCTCCAGCGCAGAGGTGAGAGCTAGCAGATGTTGAAAGGGACTGATCAATCTCTGTAAGCTCCTAGCTATCAGACCTTCAATGTACCAGCCTCGAAACATCATATTTTTTTCCTCAGCGGTTCAGGAAGCAGATCTCCGAGTTCCAGCTCAAAGAAAAGTTACCTCTCCAGCACATTTCTTCCATTTGCTAAGGAAATTTTAATGAGAAGGGGGTTCATTCTCTCCAGTTTCTGTCGCTGAGGCAGCATCTTCTCCCATTTTCCTCGTGCATAAGGGCCATTATCATTCTGTGTCAACCCGCTGACAGAGAAACACTGCGACTGCTGTCAAGCAAGCAGCATGCCACTTACTCTGCCAGATAGGTCCCTCTTTGCATAGTCACACAGAGCTGGCGTAACAGTAAAGCTTGACCCAAGGAACAGCATCAAATTAGCATCCAGGAACGTAAAATCAAACATTAAACTTACAAGAAAATCCATATTCATTCTGGGTTCTCTGTTCAGTTGAAATAGGATAAATGAAACCTTAAAAAGAAAGAAATTAAACAAAAATGGGAACAAAATCAAATTAATGAGGAGAACAAAAAGGGAAGCATAAAAAATGGTTTAATTAAAAAAAAGAAGGAAAAGAAACTGATGGCACTTTAAAATTCTGATACAGCACAGAATTATGATTTTGCATCCCCTGTCTCCTCCAGAGTCTTACTAAGAATTAATAAGCAGGCAGATTGAATTTCTAAGCCAAAATCGGTCTCGAGTCACTAACTTTGGAGTGCTTAAAGTCTTTCTTTTATTGAGCATAAACTCTAATGGATCTAATTTATTTCAGACATCAAGGGTCATTAGCATATGGAAAGTCTTTTTTCCCTATCCCTGCCATATGCTTTAATTCCCAGGACATGTTCGGTGAGGCTCTAACAGTTTTTTTATTTAATTATAGTAGCTTGCTGTTGATCTAATAGAGCTAAAGGAGACCTGTCGTCACTGGTCAGAGGTTAAATACCCATTTGCTGAGCAGAGTCCACGCACAAAGCCCTCTCTCTCTATTTCCCTGGAATTATTTTATCCTGTCTTTAATACATGTTCAATAGGAATTCCTCAGGGAGCAAAGAATTTGTCAGCAAACGGGGAACTGAGTGGCTTCTCTTTGAAATTATTACAAAATCAATAAGGCCCCTGGGGTCATAACATTATTTATTTGAAATCTTTGCAAGCACCGTATATCGACAAAATCATAACACAATTTACAGCTGTATTTCGGAACTGATAAATAAGAGAGATTGTTTCCTTTGTCTTTCCTTTCTGCAGCTCCTACAGCACGGCACGCTGGAGCTGCTTAGTTCGCACGAGCCCTATGAACTCGCTAAGCACCTCCCAGCTGCTTTCCATCCATATGGGAAACGAGTGAAATGCTCCAAGTCCCATCCTGCCGGAAAGGTAAATGACAAATCCAAAGTATGCGGGGGAGTCTCTGTCAGGGACGGGATTAGAGTCGGTGTAAGACAGCAGGTACCTCTCCTCCATCACCTTCCCTTCAGTGCTTTTGAAGGGAATTTCACCCCCTCTCCTTGGATCGCACTGCGAGGAGCTCGCACAGCCGGGGACTCCCTGCAGGTGAAATGAAACTAGAAAAATGCACTCCTGGCGCGTGCCTAATGCACAGGACCACATTACAGGCAGACCGGAGTAATAATCCCCAGCTCCCAGAAATGCTGAGTTTAGGTGCTCGGCATCTGTTGTGCTCTACATAGCTCTTCCTGCTTGGCTGCGCTGCTTGCTAATGAAGATATAGTCTATCCCAATTGCAGGTATAGACATACCTCCTCCCGAAATTTCCAGACATTAACTATCACGTAAATGCTACCTTAGCTGAAATACCAGATGTATTGGGTTTGCAAGGCAAGGTTTTGGTAGCGGGGGGGCTACAGGGGTGGCTTCTGTGAGAAGCTACTAGAAGCTTCCTCTATGTCCGACAGAGCCAATGTCAGCCGGCTCCAAGACCCACCGCTGGCCAAGGCCGAGCCGATCCGTGATGGGGGGA